CCCCCCCCTCTTTCTCTTTCTACCCCCTCCCCCTCCACATTTTAAAGCGACGGATTTATTTATTTTATTTTTTCTCTCTCTTACGGATTTTATTTTTTATTTTTTTGAAAATCCAGGGTAGCGTCCGAGGAACTCAACTGAACTGAGAGTTGGCGATCGAAGGACAATCGAACGAACAAAACTATCGAACAGTGGAATTACGGACTGATATTTCGAATCTCGTTCTACAAGAGGACAACTATTATTTTCGGTGACATTTTTATTGATGATATTATTATTATTTTTCTCTGTTGAAATATGTATATTTATAAAGAAATTAAACGTGAATAATTCCAGCGACGAAATTATTGAAACTTTGAAATTAAAAAATTTTGCTCCGTAAAATTTCTATTTTTTGGCATATATTTTAACAAAATATATAGATATTACTACGAATATTACATTACTACCATCACGGGCAGCTATATCTGCGTCCTTTACACACGAACACACACGTGTGTGTACACGTTACACGTGTGTTGTACCGTGTCCATGCATGTAAGTAGATGCGTGTATGCATGGCTACTACAACATCTAACATTTACCCGGGCTACAACCTGATCGGCTCAACATCAGAAGATCAACACCACAGCTCCGTGGTAGTACAACAGGGACTAGCGTACAGGCCCATCACCAAGATCCTACCAAGTGGAGGCTGCGTTGGACTATTCACCGCTGATACTGCTCTGACATCATCATCAGCAGCAGCAGCAGCAGCGTCCGATTTGATCGCATTGGCACCGGCACACGGAATGCAACATCATAGTCAGCAGCAGCAGCATCATCAGCAACAACAACATCAGCAGCATCATCAGCATCCGATTTGGGATGCGGCTGCAATGGTAGCAGCAACGTTGGGACAGCAGCAACAGCAGCATCATCAGCAACATCAGCAGCAGCAGCAGCCTCAACACCAGCACCACCATCAGCAGCAGCAGCACGAGATGGAGAGGCTTTCGTGGACCTCAAACGCCAAGGCAGGCCTCGCGGAAGGATCCTCACCGATCTCGTGGTCGACTTCGAACGGACGACGTGAAGGTAAAGTGTCCGATCTCGAGCACCACCACCACCAACATCATCATCATCATCAGCAGCAACAGCACCATCAGCATCAGCAGCATTGGTCTTCGATCAGCCGGGATGTGAAGATGCCCTTGGCCGCAGCCGACGATCTCCAGAGATCGTCATCGGCTGGTCCACAACCACAACCACCACCGCCCCCAACACCATCATCGTCGTCGTCATCTTCGTCGTCGTCATCAGCGGCGTCGTCCGCCGCTCTGGGTGTTGGTGGAGCAGGTCCGTCGTCGTCATCGTCGTCGTCCTCGTCATCGTCGTCCTCGTCATCATCAGCTGGTGGCGGTGGTGGCGGTGGTGGTCCAGTGGGTGACACGTGGATCAACTCTGCTCCAAGCCCCGTCAGCAGTCCGGATGTCAAGCCGTGCGTGGAGGAGTTATCAAATAGCTTGGCGGCTGCAGCTGCAGCAGCAGCATCAGCAGCATCATCATCAGCAGCAGCAGCAACGACCAATCTCCACCACCAGCGCGTCACAGTGAGCGCTTTACTCCAACACCACCATCACCAACAACAACAACATCAACAACAACAACAACATCAGCAGCAGCAGCAGCATTCGCCACACGAGCACCACTCGTGGGACAGCTCGGGACACCATCATCATCAGCATCATCAGCATCAGCACGCACACGCGACGCCTCTCTCGCCCATAGCTGCTGCTGCTAGCGGTGGTGGTGGTGGTGGTGTTGGTGGTGGTGTTGGTGGTGTTCCTCTGTACGCTCACCCTGGATTCATTCCGGCTGCGGTGGCGGCCGCGGTTGTGTCCGGATCATCAACATCGTCACCCACATCGTCACCCACCAACCACCACCATCAACAACAACAACAACATCACCACCAAACACCGCGACATATCCACCCGTCCATCCACGCAGCCCACCATCATCCGCACCACCTCCACCATCAGCAGCAGCAGCATCTCCATCAGCAGCAACATCAGCATCAGTCTATCCATCAGCAGCAGCAGCATCATCATCAGCAACAGCATCACCACCTCCAACAGCAGCAGCAGCATCATCAGCAGCAGCAGCTGCAGTTGGCAGGCCCCGTGGTGGCACTTTTGCGTGATCCTCTGATCCACAATGACGGCTCCATGTCCGTGGTGGATGGTGGTGGACTATCATCATTATCATCATTATCATCATCATTATCATCAGCAGCGGCGGCTGCTGCTGCTGCTGCTGCAACATCAGCGGCTGTAGCCGCCGGCACCATCAACTCGACGTCCAGCAACCCGCTGTCCACCTCCTCCACCTCCTCAACGTCTCTCCTGCTGCTGCAGCACCCGATCGGGATGTTGGATGCGAGAGACGGAGGAGGTGGCGGTGGAGGTGGAGGAGGTGGTGGTGGCGGAGTGTCGGACGACGAGACGCCGAGTTCGGACGACCTCGAGATGTTCGCCAAACAGTTCAAGCAACGTCGCATCAAGTTGGGCTTCACGCAGGCAGACGTGGGCCTCGCGCTGGGCACTCTGTACGGCAACGTGTTCTCGCAGACCACCATCTGCCGCTTCGAGGCGCTGCAGCTGAGCTTCAAGAACATGTGCAAGCTCAAGCCGCTGCTCAACAAGTGGCTGGAAGAGGCCGACTCGGCCACGGGCAGTCCCAGCAGCATCGATAAGATCGCGGCGCAAGGTCGCAAGCGGAAGAAGAGGACCTCCATCGAGGTGACGGTGAAAGGCGCCCTCGAAAATCACTTCCTCAAGTGTCCCAAGCCCGCCGCGCAGGAGATAACCGCGCTGGCGGACAGCCTGCAGCTCGAGAAGGAAGTGGTACGCGTTTGGTTCTGTAACAGGAGGCAGAAAGAGAAGAGGATGACGCCTCCTCTGAGTCTCACACCCGGCGGCGAGGAGAATGGATCCGTGGTTGGTGGAGGTGGAGGTGGTGGTGGAGGTGGTGGTGGAGGCGGTGGTGGTGGCAGCAATGGAGGAGGAGGTGGTGGTTACCAAGAAATTGGGAGTCCTGAATCAAACCACGGACGGCATCAACACCACCACCACCACCATCATCAACAACAACAACATCAGCAGCAGCAGCAGCATCATCAGCAGCAGCATCAACTGCATCATCACCAGCACCATCCGGTGATGTTGTGCCCAGAAACGATACCATCGTCGTCGTGAGATGAGTCGATGATGGGACGACCACGACGACCACGAGGAGGAGGAGGATGATGAGAGGCGATGTTGGGGATTTGTACAGACAGCGGCGGTGCGGTTTTTGGGTTTTTCGAGGACTCGATTCGGTGCAGCGAGATTATTGATGGCATTCCGGGGATCATTGGACTTTCACTGCAATGGCGTGTGTCGGGTGGGTCGGTGTTTGTGCGTGTGTGTGTAGTTTTTAGCGTGTGTGTGTGTGTGTGTCTTTGTGGTGTGTGTGTAGTGTAGTTTTGTAGTGTGTGTGTGTGTTTTGTGAGTGTCGTTTTTAAGTGCGTCTGCGCGCGTATGTTAAGTGGCTGTGTGTCTGTATGTATGGATGCCTGAGTGTGTTTGTACGTGTGTGTCTGTATGTATGTGTGTCTGTACGTGTGTGTCTGTGTGTGTCTGTACGTACGTCTGTGTTGGCTATACGTGTGTGTCTGTATGTATGTGTGTCTGCACGTGTGTCTGTGTCTGTCTATGTGTCTGTGCGTGTGTGTGTCTGTATGTGTGTCTGTGTGTGTGTACGTGTGTCTGTACGTGTGTCTGTATGTATGTGGTTTGTATATTCGTGTGTGTTTGTTTTTCTGTACGTGTGTATAGGTGTGTATGTATATATATATGTGTGTGTGTCTATGTATGTGTGTCTGCACGTATGTATATGTACGTGTGTCTATACGTGTGGGTCAGTGTTTCGGTCAACGCGCTGCGCTCACGACCTCCCCTAGGTCGACTCGGCCTCAAATCAGTACCTGGAAACGATGTGCAAA